GGGGGGGGGGGTCTCTTGAACCCTTAGTGCATGCTAGGTGGATTAACCCTTCGTATGCTAGCAGACACGACTGGGACAAAGCACCAGGATCTCAGCACGTTGCCTCCAATGCCACGCTGCCTCGGTGTGCCACGCTGCCTTAGCTACGCAATTTATGGTGCCAGGGGGTTGCTCTTAGGCTCTCCCTCCAGTTTGCTCCTTCAGCCTTTTGGCTCAGGGCAAGCGAGACTATGGGGCATCTGAACTCCAAGCCCCCAGGCTTGGGGCCTGCATGTAGGATGCCAGATTTGGGGAGTATCCGAAGTCCCACAGCGATGGCTCTGGGAGGGACGAGACTTGCCTGGAGGTACAGCCAGACTTGAACGACTGAGCTCAGCTCTGTCAATTAGGAATCTGGAACTAATTCAGCCTTAAGCCAAAAAAAAAAAAGAGGCGGCGGCAAGGGGCATCAGTAACTACCGAGCTGGGGAGTGAGGGAGCTTCTGAATGGACCTTAAATGCTGGAGGCTGCAAATCCCTGGTCAGCCCCAGCTTATTCTCTCATGCCGCTGGGTGACAGGAGCCTGGGAAGACAGACCTACAGGGTCTGACCCAGTAAATGGCAATTCCTACGCTCTTAGGAGGTCCGTGCTGCTGCCTGCATGCCCATATCACATCCCTGGGCACACAGGGTGGCACACTGGAGTAGGGTTTACAGAGGGTGGGAGATGGGGTGTGGTGGGCTCAGGGGCATCCCAGCTGGTGACGTTCTTCCCTCCATCCTCCCTGCAGGCGTCCCCGGCCTGCGTGGGGACACGGGCAGCTCTGGCCTGAACGGGCTGCCCGGCGAGAAGGGGGCGCCAGGGGAGTGCGCGGTGGCGCCCCGCTCAGCCTTCAGCGCCAAGCTGTCGGAGGAGCGCAGCCCGCCCGCGGCCGACCAGCCGGTGCGCTTCGACGAGGTGCTGCTCAACGAGCAGGGCCACTACGACCCGGCCACGGGCAAGTTCACGTGCGAGGTGCCTGGGCTGTACTACTTCGCCGTGCACGCCACCGTCTACCGCACCAGCCTGCAGTTCGACCTGGTCAAGAACGGGCGCTCCGTGGCCTCCTTCTTCCAGTTCTACGGGAACTGGCCCAAGCCCGCGTCCCTGTCCGGGGGCTCCCTGGTGCGCCTGGAGCCCGAGGACGAGGTGTGGGTGCAGGTGGGCGTGGGCGACTACATTGGCTTCTACTCCAGCGTCAAGACGGACAGCACCTTCACCGGCTTCCTCGTCTACTCCTACTGGCAGAACTCGGCCGTCTTCGCCTGACGCGGCCCCGTGCGGGCCTGGGAGCCCGGACGCCTGGCTTCTTGGCCCGGTGCCGCCACGGATGCTTCCCCGGAGCGCGGCACGGGGATAGGGAGGCTTCCCTGCCCCAGAGGAGCGGCTGGGAGGGGGCACCAGCTTAGTGCTGTATAATAGCACCGTGGGGAGGGGGCTGGGGGTCCCTGCGGCCTATAAGAGGTAGTGAGGTGGGAGCAGAGGCCTTGATGGGCTGAGCATCCCTGGGGCTGGGACCCAGGGTGCAGCAGGCAGGGGTCCCTCGCCCCTTGCGTGCCCCTGTACCTGCCCTAGAAGCCACGGGCTGGATGGACCACGGAGCCCAAACACCAGGCCCCTCGTAGGGCGCCAGCTCTGCTGTGAGCATCACCAAGCGCTTGGAGGTGCCAGAAGTCAC